CGTGAGATTGGAAGGGCCCATACTCAGACTGACATGCTTGTTATCTTTGCATAAGGTGGAATCAGCTCACTCTCCTTCATTCTGTGCTGCACATGTGATTTAGTTGACCAGCTTCAGGGCTGCATGCATGGGATGCCCAGACATAGGGCCCCAAAGACCTGACAGCTCTGTTCTCGCCTTCTTGGAACCCACAACAATACTGTAAGGAAACCAAGATGAGCCTCTTGATGAGAACAAGAGGGAGGCCAGGTCCAAAAAGAGCACTGCTGGCTAAACATGTGTGTTAAGTTCAACTTAGAATACACAGCTCCGGGTATGAGAAGACAATAGTCACAAGAGTGACCTCCGGCATCCAGCACAAGAACTGCTCAGCTGTGACCATCCCAAGTCATGGCATTGAATCAGGGCACAAAACTTAGAGACTTTCAGTCCATCGGTGTCAGAGTGGTTTGTCAGATGCTGAAAGACAATGGGGACAGCATCACCAGCAGGAGATATTCCCATCAGTCCTCTCACCATTTCCCAGCAACCAATAAAAACAAAAGAACTGTCAATAATTGAAGTCCACCAGATAGACCCTTCCTTTCTTGGCTCATTTCTGCTCTGCCAAGCACCCTGCATCCAAACTTCTCTCTTAGTCTCTAATGGGAGGGTCAAACTTCTGGGTCCCATGAGTTTAACTGTCTAGAAAATTGCTCTTAAGGAAGAAGGTAAGTGGGATGAGTCTTGGTCAGAGAATGGTCAAAAAGGATTAAGTTTCTGGCATGATTTGTGGTCCATGTGGTATTGCCTGTTCTTTTACGTGTTGCCTTTCCCACAGCCTCTGGAGAAATGCCCCATCTGTGTTAGCCAGCCCTTCCATCATGTAAGGAAAATACCTGCTCACTTAAAAGAACAAAGACTTGTTTTGGCTCCTGGTTTCCAAACTTTCAGTCTGTGGTCCCTGCCTGGCTCTATAATTTTTGGCCGGGGGTAAGGCAAAACATCACAGTAATACGAGCCCGTGGTAGGAGACTGTGAGGTCCAAGCTCTGATGCCAAGAAAGACAGAGGGTTATGGGAGGCCAGGGAGGTGCAAGTGAAAATAAGAAACCTTAGCCAAGACATATTTTATTGACTCAAGATGAAGGCTGCCAGACAGGCAGCTGCCATCAGACTCCCAGGCACACAGGCTACCCACCGTTGGGCACAGGAACATACGGACTGGTGCACAGGCCCCACACACGTGCCTAGAAAAAGTGCACACAGACAGGCCTGCAAACGTGACGGTAAAGACTTAGACCTCAAAGCTATGTTTACTCAAAGTCACACAAAAATGACATTCTGCCAAAAGGTTATGTAACAGATTGCGCTGATGTTTATTTTGTGGTCCCCTGGACATCCTGGGTCAGCCATGTTTTACCAGACTCATTGTCGGATATTTTTGTCAGAGCCATGTCGTCGAAACGTAACCCGGGCCCCTGCGTTCTTCAAATCCCTACAAAGAGACAGCTCACCTCATGCAGCCAGCAAGCAAAGCAAGAGACAGAAATGGCAGGAAATAACATATACCCTCCAAAGGCAAGCATGCAGTGACCTCTTTCCTATAATCAGGCTCCAGCAACTAAGAGCAAACTCTTAATGGATGGATTGATCCAGAGAGGAAGTTAGCGCCTTTCAATAAGCTAGTTCTCAATAGCGCCACCATCTGGGAACCAAAGGGAACAACATCATCCTACTGGGTAGATAAATAGGACTTCTGCAGTCAGAGATGAGCAAGTTGGGAGTGAATGGGGAAACAATGCTTTAGTCCGCAGTAACCACATGTAAATTGGAAAGGGGCCGCACTGAACACCCACGTTATTGGCAGATCACTTTTTCTCTCTCTACCACGTCCTGACCAACTGAACCTAAATATGTTCCCACAGAAGATCATGGTATACTACAATTTAGACTCTCCCCCCCCCACCACCTCATCCATTCTCCATCTGAGCTGGTTTCACACAGGAAAAAAAAAATTCTCTTTGCTTCTATTTTTTTCTCTCTTTCTTCTCACTTCTACCACCACAGCCAAGAATTACTAATTCTGAAACCTGCAAGAAATGAGTTGGTACGACTTGTAGAAATGAGGCCATCTCGAAGAAACATCTCCACAGTGAGAAGGATCCTTCCTGACCCTTAACCTTCGCTGAGTTCAGAACCTCTGGACTCCACCATGCTGTGCAGACCTGGGGCTGGTGAATGTGGCACACCTGGCCAGACTGTTAGTCCCTGCGCTTTCTCCCAAAAGTCACAAGGATGTATAAAAAGTAGAAGGGGAGACTGGGATCGCAGCTTAGTGATAGAGATTTTGCCTAGAACTTGTAAGGCCCTAGGTTCAATTTCCATCTCTCAAACAAACAAAACCATAGATAGGTAGATGGATAGATAGATAGATAGATAGATAGATAGATAGATAGATAGATAAAAGATAGATAGATAGATAGATAGATAGATAGATAGATAGATAGATATAGATAGATTTAGGAGATACCTCAGTGGGCAAAACACAGGCCTGAGAACAAGAGTTTAGATGCCCAGCCCTTGGATGAAAGTGCTCTAGAGGCAGATGCAGTTTCTGGAGATGACTGGCTTCATTAGCCAAATGGGCAGGTTCTGGGTTTAATGATGGATGAGGCCTCAATAAGTGGATAATAAGAAAAATCATCAAAGAAGACACAGATGTCTTTGGCCTCCACATGTGTATGCGCATACGTGCACACACATTCACACACACACATACATACATGTAAAAAATAAAATAAAATCTTCAGAGCCTCTCATGTGTGCAGAAACCCAAGGGTCCACCCAAAACTTCACTATGAAGAGAATGGTATCCCAGGGGAGGATGACATCACCACTCCAGGTGAGGCTTTGTCAAATTTAAATCCCAAATGGGGAATAAAAGAGACAAGCTGGGACTTGGGGATACAATTCAATACCTTTGAAGATCTTGAGTGCCCAGAAGAGCTGAGATTCTCTCAACCCCACCCCCCAAAAGAAGCCTACCCCTTAGAAGAAAACGATCTGGAGCCCAGTGTACTTTGCAGAGCACCGTGTACAGCGGTAGTGTCCAGTCTTTACAAGCACACACCCACACAGGCTCTCCAGCTCCTTGGTAATTTAAAAAAAAAATGGAAATAATGCTAAAAGCAAAATCCAAACCAAAACACGCCGAGTCTCTGGTCTCCTGCATGTGAGTGGCGTGGGAAACTGAGAGGCAACACAATGTCTGACTCTAAAGAGAGTGACTCTCTGACCACACGAGATTGACTCTCGTAACAGAACGCCTTCTCACCTGTTTGGTCATGTTTGGAAACTGAACAACACACTGTTAAACAACCAGCAACTCACAGAAAAAAAAATCATGAGGTAAAATGTGAACATATTTTACTTCAGGAGTAAGGAGTAGCCTACCACCAATGCTGTGTATAACAATCACAGTACAAGTATGTGTGACATCCTCAGAAAAGATAGCTAGATTCGATGGGTGCACACCTTTAATCTCAGCACTCAAGAGGCAGAGGCAAGTGGATCTCTGTGAGATCGAGGATAACCTGATCTACAGAGCCAGTTCCGTGACAGCTAGGGCTACACAGTGAAACCCTGTCTCAAAAAACTAAAAAGGAAAAAAATAAGATATCAAGATTCAATTTTCTAAGCCTCTCTCTTGAGAATCTAAGAAAAGGAAAAAGCAAAAAGGAGTGGGCTGCCTGGGACTCTTTCATGTCACCACTTAGAATATAAAATGTCACAACTATTTCAGAAAGTAGCTTAGCAGTTTTCCATAACACTGAACATATGCTGATCATATGACCCAGCAATCCCTCTTCTAGGTATTTACTCAAGAAAAAGATGAGAACATATGCCACACAAGGCCACAAGTATTTATAGTAGCTATATTCATTACTGGCCAAATTGGAAGCCACCCAAGTATGAATAGTCAAGAGACAAATGACTTACTAAGCTGTGGTATGTCCTTTCAGTTGACTAGTTCTTGGCGATGCAAAGTGAGACGTGTTTAGCCAACAACATAGGTGGACTTTAAAATCATAGATTGAGCAAAAGAGAAGCTAGACGCAGTGCCCTATTAATGAAGGAGGGAGCTCTCGACAGCCTGGACTTGGCAAAAATGGCTCTGGCATGACATTCTCCCATAGTGCCCCTTCCTTGCTAAGAACCTTTTCTTTACATTCTTAAAGCTAGCCACCAAGGTCCATTCCCTTATTTGGTCACTTTCTCCCCCTGAGGTTGACTACCAGGGTCTAACGATTAAAGTATGGAAGTTCAGTAATCCAAAGCCCCTGGTGGCTGTTCTAAGTAACCTGTCCAATCAAAATTAAACACCTCATCCTAACACACAGTTTTCCCTTTTATCTTTACATACTGCCATATGGGCCATACCTGTCTCCTCTCTATCCAGAGGCAATCCTTTGTCCATCCAGGAAAAATAGACTTTCTCCCTCTCCCTTTCCCTTCTCCTTCTCCCTCATCTACTCTCTCCCTGTGTCTGTCTCTTATCCCCAGCCCTCTATCCCTCTGGAACAAATAAATCTCCTTTGTGCTGAGAACTTAGTCTTGGGTATCTTGTGCCAATACCCATTCTTTCAATTATGTCACCCCATTAATAACAAATTCTTCTAAAGGTAAAGCTTTAGAAGAGTACATATTAGAGTACTACTCAGCAGTAAAAAAACAAGGACTTCTTGAAGTTTGCAGGCAAATGGATGGAAATAGAAAACACTATCCTGAGTGAGGTAAGCCAGGCCCAAAAAGAGGAACATGGGATGTACTCGCTCATATTTGGTTTCTAGCCATAAATAAAGGACATTGAGCCTATAATTCGGGTTCTTAGAGAAGCTAAATAAGAAGGAGAACCCAAAGAAAAACATTTAGGCATCCTCCTGAATATTAACCTTCATCAGGCGATGAAAGGAGACAGAGACAGAGACCCACATTGGAGCACCGGACTGAAATCTCAAGGTCCAAATCAGGAGCAGAAGGAGAGAGAGCACGAGCAAGGAACTCAGGACCGCGAGGGGTGCACCCACACACTGAGACAATGGGGATGTTCTATCGGGAACTCACCAAGGCCAGCTGGCCTGGGTCTGAAAAAGCCTGGGATAAAACCGGTCTCGCTGAACATAGCGGACAATGAGGACTACTGAGAACTCAAGAACAATGGCAATGGGTTTTTGATCCTACTGCACGTATTGGCTTTGTGGGAGCCTAGGCAGTTTGGATGCTCACCTTACTAGACCTGGATGGAGGTGGGTGGTCCTTGGACTTCCCACAGGGCAGGGAACTCTGATTGCTCTTTGGGCTGATGAGGGAGGGGGACTTGATTGGGGGAGGGGGAGGGAAAGGGGAGGCGGCAGTGGGGAAGAGAGAGAAATCTTTAATAAATAAAAAAAGAAATAGAAGTTGAGTAGTGTTCTTTAGATGTCTGTGAGGAATCGTGTTGGGATTTTAATAGGGATTGATTGCATTGAATCTGTAGATTGCTTTTGAAAAGATTGTCATTTTTTATTATGTTAATCCTACCTATCCAAGAGCTTGGGGAATCTTTCCATTTTCTGATGTCTTCTTCAATTTCTTTCTTCAAGGACTTAAAGTTCTTTTTGCACAGGTCTTTCACTTCTTTGGTTAGGGTTACACCAAGATATTTTATGTTATTTGTGGCTATTGTAAAAGGTGATGTTTCTCTTCCTTCTTTCTTAGTCAATTTATAATTTGTATATAAGAGGGCTACTGATTTTTTTAGTTGATATTGTATTCTGCCACATTACTGAAGGTGTTTATAAGATATAGGAGTTACATGGTAGAATTTTTGAAGTCACTTATATATACTATTTATATCATCTGCAAATAGCAAAAGTTTGACTACTTCCTTTCCAATTTGTATCCCTTGATCTTTCTTTGTTGTCTTGTTGCTCTAATTAGAACTTCAAGTACTATATTGAATAGATATGGAAGAGAGTGGACAGCCTTGCCTTGTTCCTAATTTTAGTGGGTTCACTTGAGTTTCTCTCCATTTACTTGATGTTGGCTGTCAGCTTGCTGTATATTGCTTTTATTATTTTTAGGTATGGTCCTTGTATCTCTGATCTCCTTAAGACCTTTATTATGACAGGTGTTGGATTTTGTCAAAGGCTTTTTCAGCATCTAATGATATGATTATATGTTTTTTCCTTTCAGTTTATTTACATGATGGATTACAATGACAGATTTTCATATGTTGAACCATCACTGCATCTCTACAATGAAAACAACTTGATCATGGTGGATTTTTTTTATGTGTTTTTGTGTTTGGTTTGCCAGTATTTTACTGAATATTTTTGTATCAATGTTCATGAGGGATATTGATTTGTAATTCCCTTTCTTAGATCAGTCTTTGAGTGGTTTGGGTGTCAGAGTAACTGCAGCCTCATAAAAAGAATTTGACAGTGTTCCTTCTGTTTCTGTTGTGTGGAACAATTTGAGGAGTATAGAGATTCACTCTTCTTTGAAGTTCTGATAGAATTATGTACTGAAACCATATGACCCTGGGCTTTTTTTGGCTGGGAGACTTTTGATGACTTCTATTTTCTTAGGGGTTATAGGTCTATTTAAATTTTTTATCTGATCTTGATTTAATTTTGGTATGTGGTACCTACCCAGAATTTTTTTTAAGATTTTCCAATTTGGGGGCATATGCTATCCAAGTATGACCTAATGACTCTCTGGAAATCCTTAGTGTCTGTTGTTATATCCCCCTTTTCATTTTTGATTTTTTTTTAATTTGGATATTTTCTCTCTGCCTTTTGGTTATTCTGGATAAGGCATTATTTATCTTGATGATTTTCTCAAAGAACCACCTCCTTGTTTCATTGATTCTTTGTATTGTTTTTATTTCTATTTTATTGATTTCAAGCTCTCAATTTGATTATTCTCTGTCATCTACTCCACCTGGGTGAGTCTGCTTCTTTTTGTTCTAAAGTCTTCAAGTGTGTTGTTAAGTCACTAGTATGAGATTTCTCCATTTTCTTCATGTAGGCACTTTGTACTATGAACTTTCCTTTTAGCACTGATTTCATAGTGTACCATAAGTATGGGTATGTTGTGCATTCATTTTTGTTGAATTCTAGGAAGACTTTAATTTTTTTCTTTATTTCTTCCTTGACCTAGGGGCAATACATTTGAGTGTTGTTCAATTTCCATGAGTTTGTAGACTTTCTGTAATTGGTGCTATTGTTAAATTCTTACTTTAAGCCATGTTGATCAGATAAGATTCAGGGGGTTACTCCAGGTTTTTTTTTTTTTTGTATCTGTGGAGGTTTGTTTTGTTACTAAGTATGTGGTCAATTTTAGAGAAGGTTTCTTGAGTTGCTGAGAAGAAGGTATATTCTTTTGTGTTCGAGTAAAATGTTCTATAGATGTCAGTTAAGTCCATTTAAGTCATGACATGTTAGTTCTCTTATTTCTCTGTTAAGTTTCTGTCTAGCAGACCTGTCCAGTAGTAACAGTGGAGTGTTGAAGTCTCCCACTATTGGTGTGTGGGATTTAATGTGAAATTTAGCTTTAGTAATGTTTCTTTTATATAAATGGGTGTTCTTGTATTTGGGGCATAAATATTCAGAACAGATACTTTATCTTGATGAATTTTTCCTGTGGTGAGTATACAGTGTCCTTCTCCATCTTTTTTGATTGATTTAGTTTGAAGTCTATTTTCTTAGGTATTAGGATAGGTATACCTGCTTGTTTCTTACGTCCATTTGATTGGAAACTTTTTCCCAATTCTTTACTTTGAGGCAGTGTCTGTCTTTGAGTTTGAGGTGTTTTTCTTGTATGCAGCAGAAGGATGGATCCTGTTTTTTTATCCATTCTGTTAACTTGTATCTTTTTATAGGTGAATTAAGTCCATTGATATTAAGAGATATTAATGACAAGTGATTGTTAATTCCTATTATTTTTCACTGGTAGTGTTTGTTTACCCTCTTTAGGGTTTGCTGGTATGAGGTATGAGTTTATCTGTTGCCTGTGTTTTCATGGGTACAGCTACCTTACTTGGGTTGAAGTTTAACTTCTAGGAATTTCTGCAAGGCTGAGTTTGTGGATAGGTATTGTTTAAATCGGGTTTTATAATAGAATATCTTGTTTTCTCTGTCTATGGTGATTGAAACCTGTGCTGGGGATAGTAGTCTGGGCTTGCATCTGTGGTCTCTTAATATCTGCAGCACATCTTTCCAGAGCCTTCTGACTTTCAGTTTCCACTGAGAAGTCAGGTTTAATTCTGATAGGTCTGTCTTTATATGTTACTGGCCTTTTTCCTTTGTGGTTCTTAATATTCTTTCTTTATTCCCTATGTTTTGTATTTTGATCATTATATGGTGAGGGGATTTTTTTTTTTTTGTCCAGTCGATTTGGTGTTCTATAAGCATCTTGTACCTTCATAGGCATATCTTTCTTTAGGTTGGGGAAGTTTTCTTCTACAGTTTTGTTGATTATATTTTCTGTGTCTTTGAGCTGGAGTTCTTCTCCTTTTTCTATACCTATTATTCTAAGATTTGGTCTTTTCCTGATGTCCCAGATCTCCTGGACGTTTTGTGTTAAGAATTTGTTTTCTTTGACCGATGTATCTATTTCCTCTACCATATCTTCAACTCCTGGGATTCTCTCTTTCATCTCTTATAATCTGTTGGCTATGCTTGAGTCTGTAGTTCCTGTTCATTTATCCAGATTTTCCATTTCCAGAATTCCCTCAGTATTTTCTCTATTGTATCTATTTCAATTTTTAAATCTTGCATTGTTTGAACTGTTTGCTTCACCTGCTTGATTGTTTTTTCTTGCTCTTCTTGATTTTCTTTAAGAAGGTCATTGATATTTTTTTCCAATTTTTTGTTTATTTTTCCTCCATTTCTTTAAGGGAGTTTTTCATTTCCTCTTGATGGTGTGGGATTTCCCACTGTATGCTGTGAATATGTTTTATTACCATTGGTTAATAAAGAAGCTGCTTTGACCTATGGCTGGGCATAATAGATGGAGCTAGACAGGAAATCTAAACTGAATGCAAGGAGAAGGATGGCAGAGTCAGAGAGACGCCATGTAGCTGTCGAAGGAGAAAGATGCTGGAAACTTACCTTGGGCCACAGCCTCATGCTGATATATACATTAACAGAAATTGGTCAATTTAAGATTAAAGAGCTAGCTAGGAATATGCCTAAGCTATTGGCCAAATAGTGTTGTAATTAATATAGTTTCTGTGTGATTATTTGGGTCTGGGTAGTTAAGAAATGGAAGCGCAGTCTCCGGTTACACTCTTTAAGAGTCTCTATCACCTTTGTAAAGTTATATTTAAAAATTTTTAATTTTTTTTTTTTTGGTTTTTCGAGACAGGGTTTCTTTGTGGTTTTGGAGCCTGTCCTGGAACTAGCTCTTGTAGACAAGGCTGGTCTCGAACTCACAGAGATCCGCCTGCCTCTGACTCCCGAGTGCTGGGATTAAAGGTGTGTACCAACACCGTTTGCTTCTTCTGGGTTAGGATGTTCAGGTCCTCCTTTTGTAGGATCACTGGGTTCAGGTGTTGCCATAATACTATTTAGGTTGTTGAATGTATTCTTCCATTGGTACCTGCCCATCTCTTCCTCCAAAAGATGCAGATGGGGCCTGTGCTTCAGGGGGTCTCTCTTCCTCCAACTGATGCAGGTGAAGCTTGTGGCTTAGGTGCTCACTCTTTTTCCTGGTGCAGGTGGGGCCAGGCCTCTGGCAGTCACTGATACAGCCCTGGGGGGGGGGGCAGTCCTTTCCTGGTGCAACCAGGGTCAAGACTCCAGTGGTCATAGGTGCAGTAGGGGAGGCTGGATCTTTGGAGCTTGGTGGTTGGGAGTGGGGCATAAGATGTTCCTCCATGGGCTAGGACCTGGAGAGCAGGGTCCTCTAGCTGGAAACCCAGACACTCACCTCTCCAGGGGTAGTCAAGGCCAAGGCTCCAGGGGTCAGAGATGCAGTAGAGAATGGTTGTGGGTGTGTGGAGGCTGCTCTCAGATCTCTGAGATTTTGCTGGGGGTGGGGGTGTGGGGTGTGGGATGTGTCTCAGGAGCTAGGGTCTAGGGTCT